GGACGTCCTTCCTCATGGACGGCCACCAGAGAGCCCGACGGAGGAACTGGAGGGTACGGGCTTGTCCTTGATGTCCCGCGAGCCGTGAACAATGCCCCCACGTGAGCGCCTCTTGCCGGCAGGAGGCGGGAACGTAGAGACGGTTCGGTGGGGTCTCCGGCGGCGCTGGATCGCCAGGAAGTGCCGCCTGTATGGACTGCTCCAACGGCCATTGGAGGGAGGCCAGGAAGCGTTGAGCCGGTAGAATGGTCCGAGGCTCCGGGGGGGCGGCATCTGGTGCGAAACGCCGAGAGAGAGCGTCCGCTTTGAGGTTCTTGGAGCCGGGCCGGTAGGCGATATGGAAGTGGTACGGCTCGAAAAAGAGGGCCCACCGAGCCTGACGAGGGTTGAGCTGGCGGGCAGTCTGTAGATGAATGAGATCCTGGTGGTCGGTCCAGATCAGAAAGGGATCGGTGGTCCCCAGGAGCCACTGCCTCCATTCCTCCAGCGCCCATTTTATTGCCATCAGCTCTCTGTCGCCGACTCCATAATTCTGCTGTGTGGGGGAAAACTTCCGGGAGAAGTAGGCACATGGGTGGAGCTTAGAGTCTGGACCCCGTTGCGAGAGAACGGCCCCCGCTCCCACATCCGAGGCGTCCACCTCCACGACGAAGGGCCGGGTCTGGTCCGGGTGGAGGAGGATGGGTTCCTTAGTGAAACATCCGACCAGCTCATGGAAAGCACGGACAGCCTCTGGAGTAAGGCGAAAAGGGCGAGGCTGATTGGTGGTTTTGGTGAGTGAGGTCAGAGGTGCTGCGAGGGAACTGAAGTTGCGTATAAACCTCCGGTAAAAGTTCGAGAAACCCAGGAAGCTTTGCAGCTGCTTCAGGGTTGTGGGTAGAGGCCACTGAGCTACGGCCTGAACCTTCTGGGGGTCCATCTTCAGGCCCTGGGAGGAGATGGTAAAACCCAGGAAGGAGGTGGACCCCTGGTGAAACGCACACTTCTCCAGTTTGCAGTAAAGTCCATGGTCCAGGAGGCGGGACAGAACAGCTCGAACATGACGGATGTGCTCTTCGGCCGTGCGGGAGTAGATGAGGATGTCATCTAGATAGACAAAGACCCAGCGACCCAACATGTCTCTCAGCACATCTGTAATGAACCGCTGGAAGACAACGGGGCTGTTGCAGCGTCCAAAAGGCATCACCAAATATTCATAGTGGCCAGTGGGCGTGATAAAAGCGGTCTTCCACTCCTCACCTTCCTTAATACGGATGAGGTTATAGGCGCTGCGCAAATCCAGTTTAGTAAACACTGCAGCTTGTGTGATGGCGTCCAGAGCGGTGTCCATGAGGCGGAGAGGGTGACGGTCCCGGATCGTTATTTTATTTAACCCTCGATAGTCTATGCAGGGCCGGAGATCCCCCTCCTTCTTTTTAACAAAGAAAAACCCCGCGGCCCCGGGGGAAGTTGAGGGACGGATGAATCCCTTCTGCAGGGCATCAGTTATATAATTGTCCATAGCCCGGGTTTCCACCGGAGAGAGGGAGAACAGGCGACCCCGAGGGGGGGTTGTTCCGGGCTGGAGCCTGATCTCCAGGTCGTAGGGTCGGTGAGGAGGTAACCTGGTAGTGGGTTCATTAGCGAAGACCTGAGCGAGGTCGTGGTATTGAGGAGGGATGAGCGTCAGGTCTACGTCTGTGGGAGGGGCTGCTCCAGTCCGAGGTGCAGGGGAGTCCCGGTGGTTATGGCAACCCGTGCCCCAGGCCAGGACTTTACTGGTGGACCAGGAGATGTGAGGCTCATGGCGGCAGAACCAGGAATGACCCAGGATGAGAGGCGTAGCCGGAGCCTGGATGACCAGGAAGTGGAGGGTCTCCCGGTGTTGGTCAATAGTCATGTGGAGACCCTGAGTTCGGTGGGTGAGAGGGTACGGCATGATGGGCCGGCCGTCCACAGAGGTCACGGGAATGGGTCGGTCGAGGGCGGTGAGGGGTATCTTGAGCCGAGTAACCAGTCCGTGATCGATAAAACACTCCGCAGCCCCAGTGTCTAAAAGTGCCTCCAGTCTGGTCGGGCCTTGGTCCAGGTGGAGGGAGACCGGGAGAGTGGTTCGGTGTGGAGCCGGAAAAGTGGAGACTCCGGGCGGGACAGCTCCTACTCCGACCCGGAGGGACCTTTTCCCGGTCGTTTTGGGCACGTGCCACGGTGGTGACCCAAATCCCCACAGTAAGCGCATCTTCCCTCCTGGTAGCGCCGTGCCCGTTCCTCAGGGGGAAGATGTCCCAGCTGCATCGGCTCCTCCGTCGGTTGGTGAGCCGGCCGGCGGGGTGACGTCCTGGGGCTGACATGGTGCTCGGCCGGTTCAGGATGCAGCGGTCCAGTTGGAGAGCCAGATCCACTGCCAGGTCCAGGGAGGTTGGGACCTCGTGCCCGATCATGCCCTCCCGGATTCTCGGTGACAGTCCCTCCAGGTAAACTGCCTTTAGGGCGGCGTCATCCCACCTCAACCGAGCTGCTGTCGTCCGGAAGCGAGAGGTGTACTGAGCCGCCGTCTGGGAGCCCTGGCGAAGCTGAAGCAGCCGCGTCTCGTTCGAGACCTCGCTGCTGGGGTGCACAAAAGTCTTTTTCATCTCCTTTACAAAAGTCTCATAGTCATTGCAGGCAGGAGATTTCTGATTGTAAAGAGCCGCCGCCCATTCACCGGCTCGATCTGTCAGCGGTGAGGTCAGCAGGGCGACACGAGAGCAGGATGTGGGGTAGCGTGCCGGCTGGCACTCGAAAGTCATGGCCAGGGTCGCCAACATGCCCTCCGGGGATCCCCTGGTTCCGTCCTACTTCTCTGGAAGGCTGAGGCGTGGTTCCATCCTGTCAGAAACAGCTGCGGTCTGACGTTGCAGAGCGGTGGTCAGCTGGAGAACTAGCTCGGTGAGTGACTCAATCTTGGTGGCTTGGCGATCAGCTATGGCACGGAGCTGGTTCAGGTCTGCCGTATGCTGATCCAAGATTGCGCGCTGTTGAGCCACTTCGGCACGCAGACGCGCGAACTCCGCTGGGTCAACTTGGGGCTCAGTCATCCTGTCAGGTTCGTTGGCAGATCTGAAGCGTGACTGAGAGTTCTGTTGCCCAGACGCGGAGAGACGGAGATAACCGGCGTGGTTATCTCCTGAAGGTGTAGTTTAAGTGTTTAGAGGGCTGGTAAGCCTGGAGACTCGATACAAAGTCTGGTGAGAAACGATGACTGAGCAATGAATGAAACGCCGGCACTTCCTTAAGTAGTGTCGGCGTGATGACGTCAGTCGCCACGTTGGTGGCAGGAATGAATGGAATGCAGTCAGCTGGAGGAGTTCGTGACAGGATGGAAGTCAGTGGGACGTTTCTGTCGTCTGAAGACTCAAGTGTTTATGGTTTCAAACTCTTCCCTTGGTCTATTTTCAAAATTCAAAATTGAATTTCAAAATCTGTCCAGAGAGGTTTCATGGAAAAATTTTGCACTATATGAAAAATCAACGATGGAATGGCGTCCAAAAGAAAAGCAAAACACTGCCAAAATGGACTAGAATGTCCCTAATGGAGCCTGAGGGTTAAACTGTGATTTAATCCTAGACTAATGGTGTTACAGATAACTCAGGGAGCAGCATACTTTAGTGCTATGTCACTTCAGTTTAGGAGGTACCCATCCATCTATTCCTTTTTGGCCGCTTATCCGGAGTCGGGTCGCAGAGGCAGCAGCCTAACCCCCAAATTCCACTACCTCCGCTCCGCTCCGCTCCGCTCCGGCACGAACTCCGGAGCAAAATCGGTCCCGTTGTAGTCAATCAGAGCAATTCCACTACTGCGGCCGCGCTCCGCCAGTGCGGCGCAGTGCGCCGCCCTCTGTTCCGGCGTCCGGCAAAAATAGAATCGATCCTATTTTTGCCGGACGCCGGAGCACCTCCGCAGTCAATGGACAGAAATCACAACCGCCCAACAGGAAAAGGAGCAAGCACAACTTCCGTTTTTCACAATAAATCGATAAACAAAAAGCGTTTTTTGTTTCATATGCACAGGTTTAACAACGTTTAACAACTATCAATGTCGGCTGAACTTTAAATGCACAAAAGTAAGCCATAAATACAGTTTCCACTATCAAAGTAGTCACACTTTGTTGATCCAAACACAGCTGATCTCTCAACACAAATGACGGGCAGATTAAACAGTTCATGCCGATGCTTCTCCCACACAACGGGTGTTTGGATCTAACTTCCGCGTTTATTGCTCGGACTGTATCGCAAGATCTCGAAAATCCCGCGCAAGCTTGTTTGCCCACCTCAGATCTCCGCACCGGAGCAGAGCCGTTATAGAACGGGTATAGTATAATTTGAGTTCGGAAGCGAGCGGCTGCGGAAGGCGGGGGCGGACTGGAGCGGAGGTAGTGGAATTTGGGGTAAGTCGAGAGGCCCAGACTTCCCTCTCCCCAGCCACTTGCGCCAGCTCCTCTGGGGAAATCCTAAGGCGTTCCCTGGCCAGGTGAGAGACATAGACCCTCCAGCGTGTCCTGGGTCTACCTATAGGTCATCTCCCGATTGGACGTGCCCGGAATATCTCACCAGGGAGGCGTACAGGAGGCATCCTGACCAGATGCCCGAGCCACCTCAACTGGCTCCTCTCGATGTAGAGGAGCAGCGGGTCTACTCCGAACTCCTCCCGGATGACTGAGCTTCTCACCCTATCTCTAAGGGAGAGCCCAGCCACTCTGTGGAGAAAACTCATTTCAGCCGCTTGTATCCGTGATCTCATTCTTTCGGTCACTACCCAAAGCTCGTGACCATGGGTGAGGGTAGGAACGTAGATCGACAGATAAATTGAGAGCTTCGCCTTCTGATTCAGCTCTCTCTTCACCACGACAGATCGGTACAACACCCGCATCACTGCAGATGCAGCACCAATCCACCTATAAATCTCACGCTCCACCATAGTTTGGAACAACTGGACTGACTTAAGCACACCTACCGAGTCAGCAGAATATAGTTGGGACTGACCTCTTAGGTGGTAGATCACAGCGGAGCTTCAGGTACATCAGCAGCCTACAGGGGGAAAAGCTTCATCACTCATTGTGGACCAGGAGGCTCCAGAGGCTCAAACATTCAAATCAAAATCATTTCTAAACAACTGAGTGTGTGAGTCTGTGTATAATATTATCTTACACCATGTAAGTCATCAGCATCCCATCACAAAACCTTTAGCTTGTGTCAACGCCAGACAGACAGACAGGTGAGTCTGGTAGCTCCATCAAGAGAAGGAGACAGGTGAAATATGCAACAGACGGGCTTCGTCAGGACGCCGATGAGAGGAAGGAAAAAGTGAAGCGGACAGACTGAGCAAGATGGATTAAGGCCTGCAATCATGGCCATGACATTCTGATGTATGTGTGGGTGCTGGCCCCAGCTGGTTCTGGTCATCTCTTGTTTAATCATATCTGCATGATGTCAAAGCAGCTGGATGAGTCCAGACCAATTGTTGCTGGTTACCTCCCAGCTGCGTCTCTCTCCACGGTCGGGAAGAGACGGAACGGCGGCACCGAGGGGAGGTCATCACACAGCTGGTACTGCATCACCGTTTGCTGAAGGAGGAGTAGGGAGGAATTAAAATGAGCACTTGCATTTTCTATTTGAGGGCAGCCAGTTAGAGGAGGAGGAGTCATTTAGAAGAGGAGGAGCCAGTTAGAGGAGGAGGAATCAGTTAGAGGAGGGGGAGCAGTCAGTTAGAGGAGGGGTAGCCAGTTAGAGGAGGGGGAGTCAGTTAGAGTAGGAGGAGCCAGTTAGAGGAGGAGGAATCAGTTAGAGGAGGGGGAGCCAGTTAGAGGAGGGGGAGTCAGTTAGAGTAGGAGGAAGCAGTTAGGGGGGGGGGGGGGTCAGTCAGAGGAGGGGTAGCCAGTTAGAGGAAGGGGGGTCAGACGAGTCAGTTAGAGGAGAAGAAGCCTAGAAAGTAGAGTGGAACAGGTTGATACCTCTCCTTGACTCGGGCAGAACCGGAGAATTCTGTGGCTGTCAAACTCGTCCAGTTGAACCATCTGATGGAAGCTGCACTCGTCAACTCGGACCGCAGCGCCGTAACCTGAACAGATCTGCTGATCAGAACCACACCCGATAGACCAAATGTAGGGGTTCCGTAGCACAGGTTTACCTCGAAGCTGTGATTTCCCGATGCTGAACTCCTCATTCAAACCAATCCTCATCTCTGTTGACACAGGAAACTTGTGTTGGAATCAACCAGAACCCGTGTTAGAATGGACCAGAACCCGTGTTAGAATGGACCAGAACCCGTGTTAGAATGGACCAGAACCCGTGTGGGAATGGACCAGAACCCGTGTCAGAATGGACTAGAACCCGTGTTAGAATGGACCAGAACCCATGTGGGAATGGACCAGGACACTGGACTCGGTTGTAATCTCACCTGAACAGCTGGGCATGTAGCATTTGACTCTGACCTCTCCTTCCACGTCGGCCTTCATCAAAACCCCCTGCAGCAGAAAGGGTAGCCATCTTTTTACTTCCTCTTAGATCATTAAATGGCCAAGGACCTCTGTATATAGCAGAGATGTTTGAAACGTACCGCCCTTCAAACTCACAGGTCAGCAGATAAATTCCAACAGGTACAACCCAGAGCCCGCACCAAGCACGGAGAGGCCGCCTCTAGCTGCTATGTGGGCCATCTCCGGAACTGTCCTCCAACAGACATAAAGACCTCTCCCACATTTCCATTTTAAATTTAGATTAAAAACCAAACTTTTTCATGACGCCTTCCATTGACCTACCTGTGGTCTACTAGGTCTTTATCTATGCTGTGTTAAATGTATTCTACATGTATTTAAGTATTTTAGATGTATGCCTATATTGTGATGTTTTATCTTTGTTCTATATTTTAAAGTAAATAATTTGACTTAATATGTTTTATTTTTGTGTATTTTGTTCTGTGTAAATATTGTTTGATTTTACTTTACACAGCATGATGTGACATTTTAACTACTTCATTTACCTTGTGATTGTTTAACTATGTGAGGCACATTGGGCTACCGTTTGTGTGTGACATGGGCTATATATGGGCTTTCTCCCTATCCCAGCCTGGGCAGGACTGTGACCGGTGAAGGCCGTGGAACCGTATCTAGGATCCAATATGCTCTCTAACCCATTATCTCCCTCCCCGGGCCAAATGGAGGTGATGAGCGCTGCTCTTGCGGCTGCACGCCCTGAAGTGAGGAGAGTCCCAACCCTACCTCCCCACCTAGTGGACACTTATGTTGTGTATCGTCTAAAGTCTGTGTGCATATATGTCTGAGGTGGTTTTTGCATAGCAAAGCTATCCTCTCTGTCGGGGGTAACTCTGAAGTGCCTTTTTTTTCCCTCCCCCTGACTCTATCCTCATATAAACCCTCTTGATCTATAACAGTAGTGCGACTCGTGTTGTGAATGACCACAGTCACCAATTCTTGTCATGTGTCTATGTATGTATGTCTGATCTCAGAATTGTGTGTACTGAAACAATTGAATTTCCCTCCGGGATTAATAAAGTATTTTTGAATTGAATTGAATTAATAACGTGTGACACGGGCGATGTAATAAACTTGACTTGACGGTCTGAGCAGGATAGCCCCAGAGCCGGTCTGTCCCCACATTAAGGTCTACTGTATTATTGCCCCTCTCCAGGTCTCACTGTGGCTGCCCACACGAGCGTTAAAGTCCCCCAGCAGAACGAGGGAGTCACTTGTAGGAGCGCTCTCCAACACCTCCTCCAAGGACTCCAAAAAGGGTGGGTAGTCTGAGCTGCAGTTTGGTGCATAAGCACAAACTACAGTAAGGACTCGCCCCCCCACACGTAGGCGGAAGGAGGCTACCCTCTCATTCACCGAAGTAAACCCCAACATACAGGTACCAAGATGGGGGGCAACTAGTATGCCCACCCCCGCTTGGTACCTCTCAGTGGGAGGAACTCCAGAGAGGTAGAAAGTCCAACCTCTCGAGGAAACTGGTTCTGGAGCCAGAGCCATGCGCTGAGGTGAGTCCAACTATATCTGGTCAGATCCTCTCAACCTCCCCCATCAACTCTGGCTCCTTCCCCACCAGAGAGGTGACATTCCACGTAGTGCGAGCCAGTTTTTGTATCCGAGGATCAGACCGCCAAGGTCCCTGCCTTCGGCTACCACCCAACACACACTGCACCTGACCCCCTTTGGCCCATCCCACGAGTGGTGAGCTGATGGAAAGGGGGACCCACATCTCCTCTTTGGGCTGTTGTTATACACCTTTTTATTTGTACTCTTTAAAATAAATCTAAAATAGGCTAATGAGTAAAAATCTGACATGTCAAAGTGGCGATCTATATTAACATCCTACTGGAGAGACGGATCCTGACCCATCATTCTAGAAACTCAAGTGCAGGGCCGTACAAAAGCGCTCTGAGGTCCTTAAATGGCTCCCGAGCTGCACTTTGGACATGCCTGTTGTGCTGGAAGGTTTTACTTTGTGAAGTGCCTTGAGACAGCGTTTGTGGTGATTTGGTGCTGTATAAATAAACTGGACTGGACTGAATGTTCTACTCACGTTGGAGCCGATGACGACCGACAGCCGCTCAACCACATCTACAAAGATCTCGCTCCTCCCTCCCTGGAATGAAAACACATCTGCAGGAACTGGCAGTGCCCAGCTGGGACATGATTACTTACTGGAAATAAACACAGACTGGATGCATGTATACGTTCTTTTAAACACAGGACAGGTCTGTTACCTTGCTGACAGTTTGGACCACTCCTGTGATCTTCATCTGAGCTAGCCGCTAATGACGACGTCACTTCCTTCTCTGTTTATCCGCGGGCAGCGGAGGACGGCGTCACCCTCTGCTGCCCGCGCTCTCCTCACCGATGACACAGTTCCACGATCTAACATGTAGACCACCTCGTCTCTGTTCATGGTTCCACGTCTCCTCATCTCTGTGGCTTCCTTAATCCGTCTTTTATATTTCTGTTGATCGGCGGTTTCGATCCGTGTGTTGTCCCAGTCCATTCTGTGGTTTCCCTTGTGCAGGGGTGTTACGGCTGGTTTCTGCTTCTTGTCTTGCTGCTCTTGTGTGTCTTTGACTTGTTTCCTTCTCACACTCCTTCCTACGCTCTACTGTTCTTGAGGTGGCGTCCGGGTGCTCCTGTGTATGTTTTACTGCAGAACTGACCTGGGATTTCATAAATGACTCCACACTTGTGTCCTGCTGATACCTTGTCCTTTGGGTGTACTGGTCTGTTTCTAACTGTTGCGTGTGTTTATGTTGTTGCTATTATTTTTCTGTAATGCCTTTGATGTAAGGTAGAAATCACTGATATAGGTTCTTGTTTTTTAGTTTTTGTTGTTCTTTTCTTTCTGTTGTTGTTTGTTGTTTACCTTTGTTTACTGCCCATGCTGGGTCTCCACATGTCTTTAAAGCGTTTTGTATATGTTGGCCCTCTGGTTTACGGTCTTGTTCTTCTGTTATCATGTTTGCTCGGTGGTCTAACGTTCTGATCGCTGATACTTTATGTGCAGGACGTGTTCTGGTGTCCATAATAAATGTTGGTCTGTGTGTGGCTTCCTGTATGTGTTTAAATTCATATCCATGAAGGTTATGCTGCATTCTATTTCTTCCTCATATGTGAATTTTATGTCGTCAGTATTGTTCAGGTGTTCTGTTAGTGTGTGTTTGTCCTCTTGGTATGATTCTAGTATGTCATCTATGTAGCGTTTCCATCGTTGTATTTTGCAGTTTGGGGGGGGGGGGCAGTGTCTTAAGGTGTGGCTGATAACGGGTCACCCACGACGAAGCCTTCAGTTGTTTGTATACAAACCGAATGCCAACACAAGAACAATAGAACACAGGAAGGAGTGTGAGAAGGAAACAAGTCAAAGACACACAAGAGCAGCAAGACAAGAAGCAGAAACCAGCCGAAACACCCCTGCACAAGGGAAACCACAGAATGGACTGGGACAACACAAGGATCAAAACCATGATCAACAGAAATATGAAAGACGGATTAAGGAAGCCACAGAGATGAGGAGACGTGGAACCATGAACAGAGACGAGGTGGTCTACATGTTAGATCGTGGAACTGTGTCATCGGTGAGGAGAGCGCGGGCAGCAGAGGGCGACGCCGTCCTCCGCTGCCCGCGGATAAACGGAGAAGGAAGTGACGTCGTCATTAGCGGCTAGCTCAGATGAAGATCACAGGAGCGGTCCAAACTGTCAGCAAGGTAACAGACCTGGGGTCTCATTTATCAAGCTTGCTTACGCACAAAACGGGGTCGAAAAACTGCGTGAGCAACTTTCCACGCAAACTTTGGGATTTATGAAAGAAAATTTAGCGGAAAAATGTGCACAACTTGAAGTTGACTAAGGACCTGGCTTACACACATGCTGGACATGGAGAGCACCTGCAGTGCTGCTGCTGAGAAGATAAAATTATGAAATCCAGCAGCATTATCACTTGTACTGCTTCGTTTTCACACAGAACAAGACCCCCACACGCACACACACACGCAAACTCTCACACACGTGCACACACACACACACACACACACGCACACACACACACACACACAGAATACAGAATGCAGAATATCAGCACGGGGACAGATTGAGACAGAACATCATGCTTCTGTGACAGTGTGTGTGTCCTGTCACTGTGACCCGAATGATCATGCACCCTGGCTAGTTGAATAGGGGAGATCTCCGTTTGGGTGACTGGTTAGCGCGTGTGACTTTCACCTGGGAGTCTGGGGATCAAATCCCTATTGGACCATTTTTTCATATCCGCCACAGATCTCTCTGAAGAATTCACAACATTGACGGCTTCAGCAACGCTGTGCCACTCTATGGATTTTCTCTTATTTGTTTTGCAAAAGCACTTCCTTTCATTTCTCCACCTCACCCACAGGTACCTCAACTTCTGCTTCTGTGAAATTGCGCTTCCTTGATCTGCCTTGATCTACGGTCGCCATCGTCATTGGCGGAGTGCTGCAACAGTCAGCTTATGTATATGCATGAGATCCACAAGGCACTTTACATTAACTATTTATGGCAGTAAGTGGGCGTGGTGAGGGCGGGATGTGACTAAAATGCAGCTGAGAACCTTTCTAGATAGTTTCTGATTTATGAAGCGGAGATTGCGTGCAACTGTGCGTGCTCCATGTTTGATAGATCACAAACCTGCTTGGCGTAAGTACTTTATTTTGCTGAGCTTCAGTACGGTTTTAGTAAGGATTCTACGCAACGTTTGGTAAATGAGACCCCTGTCCTGTGTTTAAAAAGAATTTAAACATGCATCCAGAAGAAAAACAGAATGAATATACAAAAGATTTTTAAACTCATGACTGGTTGGACCTGTCTACATCCTGGAGTATTCATGCAGCGCTTACCTGGTCTCTGCTGGACTGGATCGGTCTGGTTGCTGCAGAACTCGGAGCCACTTTACTCTGCTGTGTTTCTGCTCCAAACTACAAACAAACACAAGAGTTCAGACCACGTGGAACCGGATCCGACTACACCTGGTTCTGTCAGTACAGCTGTGCTCCAAAAACAGCAAATGATAGAAAAATAATGTTATGTAGGAGCTTTCATAGGAAGAATCCACACAAGCTGGGATAATTATCATAAACGTGACTGAATAACAGAGAAGCTGAGGCACGCACACACACGCACACGCACACGCACACACACACACACACACACACACACACACACACACACACACACACACACACACACACACAGCTAGCTTTCCAAACCACTGAATCAAAATGAAGCAAACAGTGTGAAACGGGTCGATGTTGGGAGCCATGTGGACCCAATAAGATGATGTCCTTTACCAAATCTGTCCGTTGCTGCTTCGACGTCCTGATGTGGTTGTGTTTCAGAGCGACAGCAGCAGACACAACTCAGGAGTTGTGAACAGGAATGGATCAGAGAAGGTGGCTTCTGTGACCTCATGCTTCATTCTAACCGTGGGGATGACTGTAGCAGATGCTTCTTCTCCCCTCTGCACTGAAGCACCCCCAGCGGATTTGCCTCGGAACCCCCCCATGCACGCCTACAGAGATCGGGAGACTAACTTCGGGCCTGTAAACCTTAGATGAATGGAGAAACTAAAGCTCAGACATTAATAATGTCCACTATTAAGATACTTGAAACATTCCTGCCGCCAACCACATTAACCTCTTTGCCCTGAAGGCCGACACCAAGCATGTGACGTCACAAAGGTTCACTTGGAAAAGTCACATGGTCTGACGCATAATGAAGCGAGGCATCAACGCATCTGAAAGATGGATGGAGGAGTTGAACCGCCCGCTCCAGCATGACATCACTAGGGCCAGGTGAGTTGTTGAAGGGGGGTGCTGTTAGCTTGACGCCAGGTAGACAAGACTTTGGCTAGGGGGTGTAGGTTATATTGTTCTTCTTTCCTGGTTGAGAGGGGGACTTTTTTCCACGGCCCAAAACTGCTGCCGTAGGACGGCTTCCACTGGTAAAAAATGTGTAACTGAAAATTTCCTAAGAATCAGATACATTAGTACATGTCTACAGTTATCTGGGGTTATTCTGACAATTTGTCACATGTAGTTCAACGACGTAGAGCATGTAGTATATGAGTAGTAAGTGTACATCCACTAGTATATGAGTAGTAAGTGTACATCCACTAGGTAACATTCTGTACGTGTCAAAGCGATAGCTCTGCTGCTAAGGCCTCCGCCGTACGCACCGAGGGTTGGAGTCAGGGCTGAGACCTACGAGACTCCGACTTACATGGCGTACAAAAAAGTTTGGTTTTATTCCAGTGAAGATTTTTTTACAGTAATGATTTTTTACAGTAATGATATTTCGACAGTAATTTTTTTACAGTAATGATTTTTACGGTAATGATTTTTTACAGTAATGAAATTTTTACAGTAATGATTTTTTTTACGGAAATGATTTTTTACAGTAATGGTTTTTTTACGGTAATGATATTTTTTATGGTAATGATTTTTTTACAGTAATGATTTTTTTACGGTAGTGATTTTTTTACAGTAATGATATTTTTACGGTAATGATTTTTTACAGTAATGATATTTTTACGGTAAGTATTTTTTACGGTAATGATTTTTTACAGTAATGATTTTTTTACAGTAATGATATATTACAGTAATGATTTTTTCACAGTAATGATTTTTTACAGTAATGATATTTTTTACAGTAATTATATATATTTACAGTTATATTTTACAGCAATTATATTTTTACAGTAATGATACTTTTACAGTAATTATTTTTTACAGAAATGATATTATACAGTAATAAGAAACCAAAATTTTTATTATTAAATATCTAAAAGATGTCACGGCCAGAACTATTTTCAACCGTGACGGAACGTCTCGGTTTGACGTTGTTTCTACGATCATCAAACATCTGCATGTTTGCTGGGTATGATGATGATGATGAGACCCTCCCTGAAACTCTCGTCCTTCCATGAGCAGTTCCTCTTAGCATGGACCCTTTTTCTAAACACACTAAGAAGTATGTTTATTAAAAACGTGTTACTTCCATATCAACACATATAAAGTTGATTGTATGTTGCTGTTTGGACATAAAACTAAAATCACAATCTTCTAACAACATAAATATATAAATAATGTCAAAAGGCCCAAACCTGTTGACCCCCCCCCCCCCCCCCCCCCCCCCGGTCGACTGTAGTTGTTAAATAAGGTTCTTGGAGAGAAAAAGACGAAAGAGCTGACAGGAAACAACTTATGGGAAGTAGTTGACCAAAAATAGATGACAGGAAGTGGAAGACCAGGTGAGTGGTGACGTACCAGTCCAACGTTACTGAGGTCAAACAGACTGAAAGGTCGGGAAGAGACGGCTTCAGTCTGGATGAAATTCTTCAGAACATCTGAGGATGTGGTCTGGATGTACCCGTAGTCCTGATGGGGTAAAAGACAAATGCAAGTCAGTGTGTCCCAGAGAGGAAGTTTCTTTTAAAATCATTCATAAAGTTTACCCTTCTAAAACCTTCCTGAAGATAAATATCACTAATTTTATTCCTGCTCGTGCTCTACTAAGTTATGGGAAATTTATTTCTGCTTTTATTAAACCAAACTTCTCCTTTTGCTTTGAACACATGTCATGCTGTTTGGCTTAACTGATAAAGTCACACTTTTATGTTATTAACTTTGTTTTGCTTGTAGCCAAATGGCATATTCATAAATGTCGCTATATTAACAAAAAACGACTCTTCTCCATTTTTGAAAATGAGGTGAAACAACATATGGAGACTATGGAGCACTCTACCAGTGCAAAAGCTGTTAAGACTTATAATTTATGTGTTCTCCTCAATGTTTTCATATAAGTCGGCAGTGTAGCGTTAAGAAGTTTATAATGGTCTGCCTTAACAGCTGCCCCTTCACACAGTAACATCACCAAGGTCGGACGCTTGGTTCAGTATGTTTACATTCCAGGAGAAGAGAAGAAGAACGCTTTTCATTGATTAATCAAAGTACTTTATTCGTGATAAAGCTAATCAAAGCATATGTTGATCATTAATAATCAGGTGAATGATCTGTGAAATAAAGATGTCATGAGTTATGTGTTTAAATTGTTGCAAGTCCGAGCAGCCGGTCAAGGCTTAGAAACAGTGGTCAGAGACAAGGGTCACACAAGGGTCAAGAGGACAATAGTTCAGGACTTTCTGGTGAGGACAAAACTAGGCAAAGGGTTAAAAGACAGCCTGTCCTCTCTGGATCCACCCATGGACACACCCCTGGGCCCGCCCCTAACTCCACCTCTGGCGGGAAAAGAAGGACTGGCATGGAGTGAGGAAGGTCTAACTGGACCCAGGAGCTCTCAGGAATGCTGGAGGAAGATCTACAATTTGCTACCAACATGAAGATTTATGACCTGTGCTCTCATTCCAGGAGTGCAGAATGTAACTTTTGTGCCCTCATGTGAATACTGCATGTATTGAAAATGATACCAAATGTCTTATGTAGAGCTAAAAAAGTGTATCTGGTAAATGACCCCTTGACCTAAACTGTCAGGAGAGAATGACTTGTGACTCTTACATTGTTTAGAGCAGTCTCAGAAGTGATATAAAAGGATGCAGCTCAGATCGAGCGGGGCTTCGTTCTTGGGGAGATTCTGAGAAGACAAGAGCTGGTGTAAACTAACTCTTATTTAATCATTTTGAACTAATTCCTCCGTGGGGGATAGCAGTTGTTTTTCACTTTACCCATTTTTTGTATTTTGATTTTGTAATAAACCTTTTTTGAAAAAGAAACATAATCCTGATTCTTTCAGGTTTTCTCTAAAGCTTCACGTTTGGGGCCCTGGCCATAATTGCACAGAGGTAAGCATGTCGAAGATCGGTCTCTGAATTATCAGGACTTACTTTACAGTTTATAACAGAATAATATAAAGAAACCTTAAGATAAGGGAAGTTTTAACTTCCCCCTCCTTGCGAGTAACGAGTTGTCTTAAGGGCGATAAAAGCAAAATATTCGAGGTTATTTTGGCTCTGATTGCAGGTTGAAAAAGTCTCTAATCAGCTGGAAGGTTGGATTAATAAATAAATTGATAAAATTATGATAGCCTGATCAACTAGCATAAATCATTTTATAGTTACCAACCTCCCACATAAGCTGTTAGAGGCGCAATTAATTCCGGGTAATCCAAACAATTGCTGAGAGGCTTGGCTTGCCTCCAGACTTCTCTCTAGTATCTTAACCAAAAGGTAACGAGTTTAAAAGAAGTGTAGCACTCTGGGGCTGGCTATTCGTGCAAGTCATTTCACCTTTAAAATAAAAGACAAGATTCTAATTAGGTAGTCCAAACCCGGATCTAGTACAATTATACTCGTCGATACACCCCCGAACCCTGATGGATGCACCGTCTCATAAGTTCTAACGGAACTGGGTTTTAAAGGAACCGGTAAATGGGACGGGCACACGACATGGCGCCTGCAACGTGGGGCTAATCGGCGAAGGTTCAAATATTAGATACCGGACTATTCGACGTAGAACTATGTCTTTTAGGCTGATAAAAGCTTACGCACCATGGACCTGATACGCTTATAACCTTGGAGTGAAAACCGCACCAATTTCTCGAAAAGGAAAGAAATTTGGGAGAACGGACGATTAACTCAAAGAGGTATAAAGAAATCACGGCTTTCCGACGTAAGAAAAGCCAAGGATAAAAGCTAGGCAAAAAATAAAAAGGAATAAAGTGTAAGAATAAAGAATAAGACGTGAAAACGAATAAAAATAAAATAAATAATAAAAAAGAGAAACTTTCAACCAGCCATGGCAGATAGATCTTTAACGGTAAAACCGGAAAATGTTCTCCTTAATGTGAGATTTGTCACCGGAGAAATAGCGACATTTCAAGGTGAACCACAAAGCGTTTTAGCAGTATCCTGTAACCGGAGTTTTCAGAACGAGGCCGGAACGGCTCAAGCCGCAGCGGAGCGCTGTCCGAATGCTGAAACTCAAGTAAAGAATAATCATGTATTTCCGTTAGTGGGTGATTTGGTGATTCTAGCAGAACAACAAAATGATCCTGTTTTTAATCAGATAGCGTGGTGTTGTTGGGAAAATCCAGCGAAACTCCCCACGGGCGAGCAGTATGAGATTCTTCTGGGATTACTTGAGCAAATACCAATTGGACCGGAACCTTTAGTTCTCACTCCATTTGGAGTCGGGCAGTACCGATGTGATCAAGGAGCGATGTACTCTGCTATGGCGGAGTTCGTGGTTCAACGGGCTAATAGTAGAACAATTTACTTCTTATCTAGAAGCAAAAATGAGGCAATTCAAATGAGACAGGCGTTATGTAACCGACTGGGGATCACGGAGCTCCAAGCGGAAATGTACCGGAAACGAGCTGCAGTTGAAATGTCGGCCTCCTGGGATGAAGTCCAATCGGTTCCGACCGCGCCCTTTGTATCCAGCGCTCCGCGGGGAATTCCCTGTGAGCCCCGGTTCCGAGAGCGGATTTCCTCCACCCCCACCGAACCCGCCTGACGCGGTTCGGCCGGCGCAGTGGAACCCGTTTCTACATGTACAAACCCCTTCTCAGGTGCCCATGAGAGGAGCGGAGAGATCGCCCACTGAACAGCATGTTGCTGCGTGGGACAAAGACGAGACTCAGAGACGGTCAGGAGCTGAAAGGACTCCAAACCCAATTCCTTTTCCCCCGTTAGAACCGCATAGTCCCGCGGCTCCTCCGAATCATGTTACGATAGGTCAAGAACCGGTGATAATTTTGTCAGGCGAGAAAATAGATGCGGAGATCCGAGAAGAAGATGTGTTGATCTTTCTGAAAGATCCACAAAGTTCTGCCAGTACTACGTCTTCTTTAAGTTCTCTGAGGAGACTTTTAGGGGCAGAAAGCAGAAGCTCTATGATCCCGCTGGTAGATCGTAATTACGAAGCAGGAGAAATTACTACTCTCTTAGACAAGCAATTAGGGAATCTGGAAGGTCGTGTCAGCGCGATTTCCATAATTAACGTAGACCCTCATAATCCCGACATCTCTTTTCACCAAGCTTGGGAGCGGGTGGTGTCAGAAGCCTTGGATTTAGGAGCGCGACGGCTAGTGTTTAAGCTTAATAACAAACCCCAGGTGTGTCGGATAACTGAAGCATATGGCGCAGGTTTAGTGATTTATTCCGAAGCCTCTAGCAGGCTAGGAGACATCCCGGTCGTAATTTTAGTGGATAAGTCAGCCTTGCCGCGAGTAGAGAAGAAAGTCAAACATTGGTTTGAGGCCAGAGACAGAAGCAGCGAGAGTGAGGCTGAATCGGAGGAAGAACAGGGTTCCCAACTGGTGGTGCGTGGCACACCCAAAGGGACGCTCAGGTCAGAATGCGGATCCCAACAAAAATGCAGCACTCGGATCCCTGGAGGCAAAACACCTGAAAAAGTGAGTTGGTTATCCCCAGTTACAGCCCATGAGCAAGGTGAGAACAGAGAAAATGTAGAGCAGCAACCCCAGAGAGCAGAAAAAGAAGATGAGACAAATCCTATAGTTTATGGCATTAGAGGACTAAATAAGAAAAGCCGTCCAGTACAGATGAAATATTATGACCCTCAGGCACCTCCTAACATAGGCCCAGTTAGACCGGTTCGAAAAGGAGATTGCATTAAGCATAACGTAAGTGGTCCCTTTATAATAAAAGACGTAACTGGGAACGTGGTTTTAACTGACACTGGTTTGCGCGTTCACCCTCATCAAGTTATAAAATAACTCTGAAAAATAAAAGTAATTAATTGAAAAAATAAATAAATAAATAAATAAATTTTTTTTTTTTTTTTTTTTTTTAATTAATTACTTGATTGAAAGGTCATGGCTGGGCAAAAATCTAGTGAAGAAATGACTTGTAAGATCCCAGGTGCTACGGGCCTAATTTTGCTAATGAAGGGGGATTGTGTTAAAGATTGTAAAGTGGCTATGTTTCCGGGCTTCATAGAATCTGCAAATGTGTATCGTTACGCGCAATGGGGAGGCTTGAGGCCAGGAACATGCGTGATATGCAAATCTCTGTGCACCCTAATTAAATGGTCGGGGCTCCGGGAGCAGAAGCCCCCTCACCTGGAGAGAGGAACAGACTTGCATACAGGTGCAGTGGAGCTGTCTGCTCCCATTAAAATATGTTTTTGCGGAACCTGCTTGAGGAATAATCCAGGCATCATCTCCTGGCAGGTCTGTGAATGCACCCACAGGGGTGAAATCAAAGATGGGTGCTGTTTCACGAAGAATGGTGTTTTGACTACCTGCTTACCGACAAGCCAGCCAAGTATGTTTTTTGTAGGAGAGCTGCTCAGGAATCCTAGCCTGGTGAAGCCGGTTAGAGATTTATGGGTGGAAGCTTATCCATTTGTGTTCAAGCTCAAGACCAGAGAAAAAGGACTGGAAGAGCTTCAGGCTC